TAATATAATGACAAGGTAGATATACATAAATTTTTCTATTAAATCGACCTGCAGAAAAATTTGCACGTCGCGCAAAGTGGATTTCAATTCGCTGCGCGGTAAACGCAGGAAAACGACGACGCGCGCGGGACCGGGGTGCGTGAAGTTGGCGAGCCTGAGCGGCGCGCCCGCCCGGCCCGACTCGTGGCTGACTTCGCGCCGCGCGCAGCCGAGCGTGTCTGCTTGCCGCACTCCGGCTGCATCCGGCTGCTCCGATAGCGCTTCCGCAGAGTGAAGTGCCGCACCGCCGTATACGTCGCAACGGGACGCGCCGTGCGGGGCGGCAGAGCAAAAGGAGGGAGCGATAGACGGACGGAGAGTGGAAGCGAGAAGGAAAGGACGCGAAGGGTGGTGTGTCACACTGGCGCGTCCGCCGTCGATTGCTACGTCCACGAGGGAGATGTGATGCAGCTCATACGATGGTGGACAACGAGTTCCCGGCCGCCGAGAAGATCCTCCGTGACATTGAGAACACCGTCCGAAGAAATCCCACCATGTGAGTGCACGTTTTTCCTCATCTTTTTCCTCGTGAGTAAACCCGGAAATCCGTTGCACTGCGCACGGGCGTGTTTTGCCGTCTCTAATCCCGTTCTCGTGACAGGCAAAGATCGAAATCGGTAGAGTCGCGGCGACGACAACTCGACCGTCGTGAATGTCGTAAAAAGCTCTGCCACACCGCGTTCCGTCCGTCATTTACACGAGTCGAGACGGCCGATCGCATTTCCGCGCGTTTATGCGGTGTCGCGATTTTGAACTCAGCGCAAGTTACGATCAGTTACGATCGTGTTAACGATCTCCCATCAAATTCTTGTCGTTTCCGCTCAAGTATATTTTCTACATCCCATTACGACTGTTATTCTCTATTTTTTTCAAAGTCTAAACGCATTTATGCACGTCGATTTTGTTCTTGATATTAGAAAATGTGAAGCGTGAGAGCTGCTGAGCAGACGAAATGGTCCTATATATACGCGTTATCGATTTAAAATCGCCGCGGAGTGACTTCGGTGGATCCTAACCTAAAATGGCTCTCCGTGAGAGTCTCGTTTCGAAACCCGCACTACAAACGCCCGTAAACCGGCAAACAGAACTTATAAAAACATGCACACGCGATCCTAACCGCGCAGTTGCGAGGGCGGAGTCTTCGAAGGGATAGGCAGCGAGAGGGCGAGGGGAGGGAAAAAAGCATGCACCGGTGATCGTAGAGGCGAGTCGACCTCTTCGCGATTTTAACGCGACGATCGATCTCGCGCGCGCCAACTTTCGCCCACGCTGCTCACCGTCACGGCGACCGTGCTGCGATAATAGCTGCGAAGTTGACTGCGAGTCTATCGCGAGTCACGTGCTCCAACTGTAATTGACCGCTGCTCTAGATCATAATCTATGAAATATTGAGAGAGCGCGCTCGATTTAACATTAACTCTCCAAGTATTGTCGAGAGTTCCATTATCGGACTTTATAAATTTTCGTAGAGATTTATTAAAAGTGTAATAAATCTTCGTAAACATTTATTAAAGGAATTTCAATGCAATAATAAACGATAGATATTTTTCTTTCGTTTTTTTTTTCATCAAATTCATACGAATTATTTGACCTTTTTTTTGCTCGCGTGATTTCTCATGTTTCGCGAAACTGCAATGTTAAGTTTATTCTACAATTGTGTAGGCGTACATTATTAGATTCGTAGAAGCAACGGTAACTCGATCCTTTGAGTTAAATAAAATTTTATTTTTAACTTCCATGAAATAATAGATCCATTTCTGTGGTTAGTTTCAAAGTAAAACAACGTCCATATTAATGTATGCACTTAATGAATAATAAGCTAAATTTAATTCAAATTTAATACATTTCTGAGTTAAATTGTTTAATTCCATTGTTTTAAGTTAAATTAACAACATATTAATAGCAGCAGTGGCGACCTGCAGAAATGATTAAAGATAATTCAAATTGAGTATAATTTGACTTTCTAATTTTAACAATGTAGTTGTAACTTGTAAGTGTGATTGTAGTTGCAAGAATTGATCAATCACAGTCGAACATGAGGAGAATATTCGATTGTGATTGGTTAATTCTTATTACAGTTACAACTACGCATATTCAATTAAAGAATGGACTTAATAATTAGTCAACTATGTAACACGGACATAGGAAAATTACGGTTGGCACTCAGCTTTTTGAATTACTCCGAGGGCAATTAAAACCAATCTTCTTAATCCTTGAGTTTAACACGAAACGTGTTTCATGTGAATATAGAGAGTAATGAACAAGCATTATTAACGCCCTATTTTACATTTATCCCATTTAATTTCAAGGTTTTGAATTCACATGTTAATATGAATGTGAGCTTTCGAGTGCTGTATAAAAATAAAAGGTCGTTAAAACCGGCCCCAATTATTTTCTCATCGAAAACGCTTGTTAATCTTGTTATCCCGGTTTTGAGCGCGAGATTAAAATAAACTTGCGTTCGCGACTATGATTAAGTCAAAACAAAAAAATTTACGGGAAAACATAGAAGATGTATGCGACGGAGACGAGAAGACGGTCATGCATTGCAAATTATTAATCAGCCAAATTATTAATCAGTCCTGCGTTCGCAAAATAGTACCATCAGGAGAGTATTAAGTGCTAACAATCGCGGTTTGTTTGCCATCTTTAATTCCACTTGCGTAATGTACTTGGTTTTAATTATTCGTTCACGTTTTTACCGGTTTCGATTTTTTGTGGCGGTTAAATCGCGGCGAAGAAAAAAAAATTCACAACTGTGTCTTTATACTTGCGGATTTACTCTCCTTTGACTATCGAAACTTCGGTGTATGTGTGATTATAAAATTTTCTCGTGTACATGTAATTGTACTATCTTACATAACACGCTTATGTAATTTTCACAAAATCGAACATAGAGTCAAATATAATAAAGAATTAACTATCGGGAAATTATTTTACAGGCTTGCATATAAAAAGTGTAGAATATAATCTTTTATTTAAGTTTTTTCTACAATAAATTAAAAAAAAATCTCATCGAAATCTAAAAAAAAATCCTCGTGGAAATTACGAAAAAGGATTGTTATCAACGTTCCTTTGTAAAATATATTTAATACTTTATACAGATAACTAGAAGTTAAAGTTATTGTTAAAGTATTGTTTAAATTGTTAAACTAAAAAATAGAGAACTTTGAATACGGACATAAGGAGACTCATACTTTTACGTGAGATTATAAACTTGCCGGTGTAAGCTAAATTCTTCAAATATCTTCCTACAAATATCAGCATTGCGACGAAGTTGTCTCATCTAGCTACATTATCCATGACGCATTGCGGATTTTTTAATTATACATGTTAATAGATCACAGCTGAATATGGAAATAATTTTTTAAATATTTGATAAAACGAAAATTGCTTAGATATTAAACGCATTATCTTAATTTCTATTTATCATTGAAAACATTGATAATTACTTATTAATTTTTTTCTTTCCTTGCTTTATATTCATTACACACTGTTGAAAATAATTATACGAGTACATATTTTCTCTTTCTCTTTCTTTAATAATATTACTTATTTATAATATAATATTTATATTACTCGAAATAAATATATATAGACTTTTATTACGATTAATTTTAAGTATTACATATACTAGGCTAAGAAATAATAATAAAAAATATTAATTTTTTCTCTCTCTCTCTCTTTCTTTAAAAATCTGTAATACAATTACTGACGCTGGACCTATAAGATCCGTTTAATTTATATTAATTAAAAAGCATTAATTAATTGAAGGAACCAAAAAGATGTATCTCGTATAAAAAAGAATAAATATGTATATTTTAATAAGAATAATCCAAGTTTGCAGATGTAAAGAAAATTGAATTGTTTGATATTTTTGTCAAAGAGATTTATAATTAAGTAGGTCCAACGGATCCACTAAATCAATTCCGGAGATTGAATGTAAGCAACTCGGAATAATACACTGTTAAATGTCAAAGGAGCAATAGACTCCAATCCCTTAAATAACATTTTTAACTTTTGTGTGTGTCAAAATGTAAATTAGTCTATTTCTGGATTGAATTGCTTAGTTTTAAAGTAAACAGTGTTTATATTAACGTATGTGATTAATAAGTAATAAATTAAATTTAAGTCAAATGATTACATTTCTTAAATTAAATTATTTAATTCTATTGTTTCAGTTAAATTAACGACATATTAAGTAAGAGCAATGATTCTACAGAAATGATTAAAAATAATTCAGATTAGATATAATTTGATAAATTTAACAGTGTATAATTGTTTCCGTACTTTCCTTAATTTAAGAGTACCAAAAAGAATTTACGAACGTTTCTTTCAAAAAGTTTTTTTTACACACAAAGCGAAGCGACAGTTTACATAGTCGCGACTTCTCTGTATTCCTAGAAGGAGCTTCGTGATTCTGCCTATGGAGGACAGCGAGAACCGGTCGCCGGTGTTTCACCAGGAGGACAGCTTGGGCCTGGCGTCGTGGTGCGTTCAGCCGCTCTACGTGTATACGTATCGCCGACTGCTGGAGTATCGGCGGACGCGTCATCAGCGGCGCGAGGAACCCAGCACCGTGGCGAGATGGCTGCTGGGCGCCCTTCTGTTCAATCCGAGCGTGACCATGTTCTGGAATATGCGGCGAGAACTGGTGCGCGCTGGCAGATTGGACCCACGCGACGAGCTGTCCTTCACGCGGCCGGTGCTCTATCACACGCCAAAGTGCTTCGAGGCCTTCTCGTATCGAAGCTGGCTGATGCCGTTCGTCCTGGACGCCGAGCGGACCGACGTCGCCGAAGCACTCGCGAACGACGAGCTCGAGCTCGTGCAGACCTGCGCCGATCGCTACGCGAACAACTACCACGCTTGGAGCTATCGACGTCACTTGGTCACCCTGTTCGAGTCTCGCGGTTTACGGCATTTCAGCTTCGATAGCGAATGGATGAGCACGCTCATTTGGTGCCGGCAGCATGTATCCGATCATAGCGCGTACTCCTATCGGCAATTCCTGCTGCGAAAGTACATCCTGGCAGTGGTCTCCTCGGGCAGGGAGACGCACGACAACTCCGGTTACCGCTCCATCAGGTACGACGGCCCATTCCTCTACATGGGTCGTCACGATCTCGACGACGACGAACGGACGTTGCTGGAACGTATTCGCGAGGTCGCGCGTCTGGAGCGTGATCACGGTTACTTGACCACCGACGTTCGCAAACTTAGGTGTTACCTAACGGCGTTGTCATACTGGACGGAAGAGTGCTTGTATAACGAGCAGTACATCACTTTGCACGACAATCACGAGACGTTGTGGTGCCACCGTAGGTTCCTGGCGTACTTGATCGCTGTTCTCACCGCCGCGTACGCGAGGCACGCCTGTTACCGCGAAGACGATTTCTGGGACTCTCGGTGTCACGACGAGCCGTCACTCGCATCGCTCCTTCGCGACAGACGTTTCACTACCGATGACGACCTGTTAATGGCGGCTCACGTGATGCTCGTCAAGTCCTTTTGCTCGGTTAGTGTCGGTATCATTGAGATAGCGGTCAAGCGTCCGCAGGAAAAAATGTTCATCGAGAGATTTTGCAAGTATCTTGAGAGAATAGGTTTGCGATGATCAGGATTAGCGTGTGAGATTTTGAAGTTGACGAAGGCGCGATGAGCCGATCGTAGGATTTTTCTTGTCATCAGGGTGTGTAAATATAAAAGTAATAAGCGTGCAAACGATCGCGCATTAATGCTCGCGCAATAATTTTATTGCAACACAATTTCTCTCTTTTTTGTGATTTCGTATCGTCTAAGTCATGTTAAGACGTATTCGATATGTACGATGGTTATTCAATGGCGTTTATTTAAAGTAGTCGCAATATAGTTTGTTTTTTTAAGGTTTTTGGTATTCTTGAAATATTTTTAAGACGTTTTGATTGTGTGCTTTCCATCCAATATACGGAGTGAGTCATAAGTATGTTTTAAAATTTTTGTGAGCGTGTTTATGAATTAAAAAAAGGAACAAATGTTTGTTTAAACATTGAATCGCAAGAATCCAATGTTGTCGAAGTAAATATACACAAATATAGTGGTATTAAATAATGACTTTATTTAAAAGTTTCAAGTGGGAATTTTATGTTTACAAGAAATGCTCAAAGTATCCTGCATCATTTTCCATACATATCTAACTAAGAATCTGATACTCAGTCATTATTTCAAATCTTGTGTCTATTATTTTGATAACGAAATATTTACGATCTAAAGTTTATAGAAACATTTGTTTTTCCTTTTTATACCCAGGAACGTTCATAAAACTTTAAACATACTTATGATTCACCCTGTATATATTTTCTAATTTTTTATTTTATTTATATATTTATGAGAATATCTTTTTCGAACATAAAACCCTTCCAAGGGTTGATATTTAATTTTTATTTTTTAACCACCTGGTCTTAGCGAAGGAAAGTTTTTCTTTTATAGGAGAAGTATTTTAAAAACCAGTAAAGAGACATTTTAGGAAAGAAAGTTTTTTATAACTTTGAAATATTCCAGTTTGGTGCTCAAAGAATTATTCTCTTCGATTAGTGAGGAAATTCTTTCGCGTTAGTTAGAACACGATTGCGATAAGCAGGATTCAATGTAGATAGGCAAAATTGAATTGTTATCGATACTTAATTCCCGCATTATTCGCTCGCGACTTCGTAGCGACTTCGATGAGTCATCGAGTACACCAGTGATACGTAAAAGTGAAATATAATATAATAACGAAATGTAGGATATATGTGCGAAATAAGGAGACGGATTCGTCTCGTCGAGAGGGATCTCCGTCAAGAACGGAGTACGAAAGTTTTGTGAGAACAATTATGTATACTTATAAAATATTGAACGAGAAAGAAAAATGAAGATGCTAGTTTTCTAAGATTGTGTTCTTTTTATCGCGTCCCGTAATGACGAGTGTCCATCTCTCTATCCATATTTTTCAGGTTCGTAGTTGAGATCTTTGTGAGTCCTAAAGTAAAAGAATCCCGCACTGATTATATAGAGAATTAAGTCCTGGCGAAATGAGTCAGTTTTCGCGTATAGACAGGTATTTATAATCAGTTCTTATATGTATTTAAGACGGTCAAGTACAATTTTGAGCTATCATAAGCCAATCACAGAATCGTATTAGCGTCTTAAGGCATTACTTAAGACGGTCTTAAAATAAGAATGAATTGCGAATACCGGCCTATAATGTAGCCTATAATGTAATGAATAAAAATGTTATAAATCTAAGGTTCAACAATAATAGTTTTTGAATTAGAACTTGTACCGAAGGTGTAAAACTTGTGCTCATATACCATTAGTACAACATAGCTCAAAAACTGTCTATTACGAGCCTTGTGTCTGCGACTCCTTTTGTTTACAATATTATAAACTACATTATATGAAAAATCATTTCATTCTCTCTCAATTTTCCATATAATTAGTGCGAGATCCTTTATAGCAAATTTCTAATGCTCAGTAATAAAATCAACTCCTCTTCCTGCTATCTATCCTGTTCGCATAGATCTGAAAACATTGTTCTTCTTTAATGTTTAAAGAACCTTCTATTAGTTTAGGTCCACAACTTTACTTTAAGAGGCTCTAAACCGTAAAGTCATAAGAAATTGATCATTCACAATCGATTATTTTTCTCATACTCATACTGTGATTGGTCAATTTCTTAAGGCTTTACGGTTTACAGCTTCTTAAAGCAAAATTGTGGACCCAGACTTATTCCTTGAAAGTCAAAAGACTGTCTCGGAAACTGTCTCGACATCTCGATTGATTTATGTCGGAAATGCTGTGCGATGTCGCTGCCACGATTACTATGTCACTAACGGCTGTCAGCTGCGTTCGGCTTTTTGGCACGATGCGATAACTGAAATAAACGAACTTTTATTTAACGCATGGCTCGCTCCTCAGTCACACTCGGGCGCTCGCTGTACTCGTACAATTTGGACTCGTGCGAATCGCTTTCTGTGAAGAATTAAATTACGCTTGACTCTCTGGCTGCAGATCCGATACTTCCAAGTAAAATTGAAAATTTCGCAAATAAATAAATAATTAATTGATGTTTTCCTTGTTGTCAATTTATTATTACATTGTTTATTTATATTGGTTAATTTAAATAATGTAGCAAATAATTCAAATAATATGCTATAAATATGTGTTTCTATACTTTATTTGTCGGGAATTTTGAAAGATCAGTTTTACTTGGCTGCAGCCAAAGAATTGAAGCTTCACACGAGCTTGACATAGTTCAGGACTTGCGTAAACAAATTCCGAGTTGGCATTGAAATCCTTTCTTTTTTGAGACAGAGGTGCAAATTTATAATTCACATATTTAGCGTTCTCTTGCGTTATACGTTTTTGCGACACGCGAGGAAAAAATAACTTTTCGTGCACATTTCACGCGGCATTTTCATTTCGGCATTTTGTTCACTATATACATATCGCAATAGAAATTAACGATCGAGCTTTAATTCAGTCTCTCAGTTGCGTCCGAATGTTTATTACGTGCAGCCAATCATAAGCTTATCAACAGTGTGCTTACCGACAACGTTTTAAGCTTTCAACGGATAAAACGTTTATTGAACAAAATATTCCATTAGATTTTGCCGCTCACTAATGATAATACCGCGAATATTCGCGAGTCTTGACGTCATAAAAAAAATGACCAGATTTACGAGATTACACAAATTCATAAAAGCTGACGTGTAAACGAATCTCGCGAATCACAAGCAAGCAGCGGTCTGCTCTTCGATATACAACGAGAAATGATACTTCTGGCAGTATAACGTCGACCATCGTGATCCGCAGCTTCGCGCGAGATGCTGTCGGAACGACTTTCGTCAGATCTCGTGATTGATCTCGTTTTACAATAGCTAAAGGTGTATTTAACCGATTCTCGATTGCAAACATCGCAATTTTAACTCTGACGAAATATTCTTGCGTCAAGTCGATAATTGCGAGAAACTTGCATCTGCAAATGATCAGTATATTGAAGAATACAATCGGAAAGTGTATTAATAAAGTTAAGAGTTACTTTTAAAACAGTTATATTCGGGAAATATATTTCGATACTTTGTATAAAAAAATATTTACAAATTAGCTTAATTATTAAACTTTTTTTAAAAAAATTATTTATATCATGTAAGGTAATTTTACTTAATATAACTAAACGTTGCGATTTTTGAGTCCAACAAACTAATTGAGATTCAAAATAGGAAATATTTATGAATATTAAAAATATGAGACACACTTTCAATACATGAGTACAGTAAAGATTTAACCATTCGTATAACTATCTACAAATAGCAAGAGTAAGCCATATTGGCTATTAGATTATATTGGTTGCAGTTATCTTATCTGTTCTCCAAGTATTAATTAAAATTAAAATTTCCGCTGTTGAATTTACGTGAAAAGTATTTTGCATAAATTCGATAATAAAGTTAAATGTTATAACTTTTAAAAGATGCCATAAAGACGTAGAATATTATCTTTTATATGCCTTGGACTTCTGTTTCTCTTTGAAAGAAGAGATTGTCAGTTTGTTAAAATTGCATAAGTTCTATACTCTAATTCACTTATAATAATGAAATAATAACATATTACAATAAAAAAATAACATATCAGTTATTATACTTGAATAACTGATAATATTACACACAATTGCGAAACTTTAACAACAGAAATATAGATATATTAGTTGTAATATGAATAAATATAAGTAATTCTGATATAATATTTGCCAGAATCTCGTCATGTCGATCATTCATCGATGCATCTGTTCTAACATTTTCTATTCTCAGTGACTCATTCGGCGGCGTTATCAAATTGTTTATCCGAATGATTCAGAATTCGGGCAAAGACCTCGCAAGTATAGGAAAGAAAACAGTTTCCTTGTGTGAGAAATGAATAGGGAAAAAACAATAGGAAAAAAACGAGGTTCTTGCGATATGGATAATTCCGTGAGGAACTCGAGAATGAACACTCATCTGCACAAAGATCTACCAAACAGTGCGGATCGACGATGCTGATGAGTGACGACTATCAGTACCGATCAGTGACATCAATGTCTGAAATGTTCGAGATTATAAATTACGCGAGTACGTTATAAAACTTAAGTGCGTGATTGACGGATCATCAAAAACACGCTGTCGAAAGCGGCTGCACGTGACTGTTTCCTATCACTACCATTGGTCGATCCAGGCGATAGGCGACGAGCCGGTCGATAAGCATCCTCGCGAATTCCTCGCCTGCCTCAAGAATAGACGCCATTGACCATTGTCAACTCAGTTTGACCGAGTTTTGTCGTGCTATTATACGACTATCTTTTCTTTCTTCCTCTTTTTTGTTTTTTTTTTTAACGAATTTGACGAACGAGTGGAATGTTGGACCCTGAAGTGGAAGCTGTAGTCGTCAATCTGCGACGAGGTTCAAGTTGCAGAATACCTTCGACCTCTTCTGTTGAAGGTAAGCTAGATAGTTAAGTAGGATTTGCCGAAAAGATTCACGAAACTTTGCCAATAATTTTCCTAATCGATGTGAAAGGTATTTAAGTCTAATTATTATCAGATTTATCGCATCCGTGTTAACCTAATTTTTTTCCTTGTATATTATATAAAGTAAGTAAAAAATATGGAACTAAATATCTTAAAAACAAGATATTTCAGAATAAAATGTTTCATATGAAAATTGTAGAGTTTCATCAAACGGCAATATTCATTTGATCTTGAGTGTAGATTTAACAGAACTCTCAAAGTTGATTTTAAAATTGTGAATTGGAATTTCCACTTTTTAAATTAGAACTTTCACTTTTTTATTCAATATTCTTGACATCGAAATATTTTTAAAAAACTGCAACAAAACTTCTTTTGATTAAATACTTTTTAGAGATATATTGATATTTTAGAATCGTCAACTTTTTCTCAAGTGTCTTGTTTTTGAGATATTTAATTCCGATACTTGTTGCTTGCCCTGTAGATAAAATCCATTATTTCTTTCAACATGATTTTAAAAGAAAAAAATTGTCTTATATGTATTTTTATGGCACTATGATTTTTCAAAGTTAATCATCTCGCATTACAGTATCATTATTTTCCGTCTCTTCCGCAACTGAATTATAAAAAAACGTGTAACGTTTGAGTAATTATTTTCGATGTTAAATATAGATCCGCGATTATTGAAAGTGATCTGATATTTAATACGAGTTGAGAAATATCAAACTTGGTATCGTGTGTGCTAGTTATGAAACACGAAATATTGTCTTATTCATAACGTGCGATACAATGTTGCGTGCTTGCACATCGCGGTCGATAGGTTTCGGTACTAAAGAGTATGTATATTTATCTTTGCTATATTAAACGTCCCATTCCAAAATAATTATTGGATTCCATTAGAACGATACATAGATGAGCTTTTATTATAATGAAATTTCGACATAAAATTAATGTAAGAATTAATATTCTAAAATAATTTCTGTTTGGTCATATATTTTTTTAACAATTTAGGAATATATTTTTCTTTACAATTATTATTATTTTTTGCAACTCTTAATTAGTTAAAAAAACATTTTTTGTGATACATTATATTGAAATTAATTTCTTAGAAATATTTGCATACATTTTAATAAGAAAAAAACTGTAAGAAATTTATGTAGAAATATAAGCAGCTAATGTCTTAAAAAAATGTTACGACATTGTCCTTTGCAATTCAATGAGAGAGAGAGAGAGAGAGAGAGAGAGAGAGAGAGGGGGGGGGGGAGAATAATTTCTTATTTTCTCTTAATAACAATTTTTATTAATTTTGTTTATCACAAATTCTAAATTCAAGGAAAAAGACCATCAAAACAACGTATCTTTATTTGAAAGATGAATTCCTGGATTAAATAATTAATGCTTAATTGTCGGCCTTGTTCTGACTCATCCTTCTAGTGAAACACGAGCTGAAAAAGACTAGTCAAATGGAACATGTACAATGTTACGCATATCAACGATTAGAAACATGTGTGACATATGACGTTTTCTCGCATATGTGTGTGTGTGTGTGTGTATGAGTGGATTATTATCATGCACAGCATAAGATTATTAATAGCGAGAAGTAAACATTTGGCAACATCTATTTGTGATTCATGTACTTGCGTCACGAAGAATTCCACGTCAGAGAAAGATCAACTTCATTTAATTGTGATTTTATTCATTAAATTATTAGCTGTGATTTTTTTTATTAATATATTGATTTAAATAGATTAATTTAAGTACTATACACAGTATATTCAGCGTGGAAACATTGACGGATTATTTTAAGAGAAATGCTCCATGTGTGTATAATTGGCGGCAGAAATTGCTTTGGCCACACGCTGAAGTTTAATATTAAGTTGTAATTGAAATCTAATCAATTAGAGTTTAAAAATAACTAAAATTTACGTAACTTGAAATCGTATATTTGATCTGCAAAATCAACTTTGTCGATAGCCAATATTTTCATGTTCAAGTGCTTGTTACGCTCTTTTAATTTTTGACGGACGCCAAAGTATAGTTGAAACCATGATATGCGTGGCTTCGTCTGAATCACTCGTCTCAAGGTTCCGTAGAAGGTTTTGTAAATCTACTTTATTGGCTTTGCTTGAAGTTTTCCGATTGGATTTACGTTGATCGACGACGAAAGCAATTTTCCCAAGTCCCAACGGTATTCTCTCAAAACTCGCGTGACGCGTCGGGATAACGACCCTCCGGCTTTCCCTCGACAAAATCTCACGCATTCTCACTTCTACATTCGATTATTTTATCTCTAGACATTGTGTCTGTTTGTATCTGTGCGTCGCGAATTTCCGAAATTGAACGATATTGCGACGCGACTTCGTCTGGCAACTGTCTGATAACTGACGTCACCCTGACCAAATTATTGCAAATAAACTGCTCCGCGTTCCAAGTCCACTGTAACCGTAAAACCGTCGAGTTTGTGTTCAACTGCGGTCAAGTGCAGTCGACGGTCACATTGCTCAGGTACAAAAATAAATCGAAAATTCACGAAAGCATATAACTTACTAATAATAATTTTAATTTGATTTATCGCTCTTGTCATATTACATTCATTTCTAAAAGTGAATTTCACTTAAATCATTTCACTTGAATCTAGAACAATTTTCTTGTGTCATTTTTACATTAAAATCTTGTCACTATAGAATTGTTTTTTGCTACTTAATGATGCGTTAGTTAATTAAATATTTATATAATATTATCTATTTTAAAAGATTATATACGAATATATTTTTATTTCATTGCTTATATAAGATCTCAATTATGTAATGTTATATACA